GAATAGTAATAAACATTATAAAACTCTTATACATTTACTATAAAAGGAGAAAGTAATTACTTTGGGGAGCTATATGGGAGTTACACTAACTTAAAAACACCAGGCTGCCGTAGGTCTCCATCATCACATCCTTGTATAGTATCTTCTGAGCATCATCTTCTAGGTCCTGCCACTCCTCCCAGGTAAAGTCCACAGCAACATCCTCAAATGACATGAACCCCTGTAAAAATACATTTAACCTCATCAGCACTGAGAAGTAGAGCATAACATGGGAAATTTACTTTCTCTGTATGTTTGTGTCTCTGTATGTCTATAAAATCTTTGCAAAGGGAGAATAAAATGAAGTAAAAACATTCTAGCTCTATGCTAACTTATTCATTGCTAAAAATATTACAAGTATTCCCTTATAGATCTCCAAATATTTTTGCTGTTGAGATGAAAGCATCATAAATATTCTGCTATGTCAAGGTGCTTATGACTGATCTCATAAAAAGACATAAGTATTAAATACATATCTAGAGTAATGTGTTAGATTAACTAACTTATATGCAAGTTTATGGTACCGAGTCTAATAACAAATAAAAAGGTTTTTTCTTTTTCTGTATTATCAAGTTGTACTGTGTCAAAGACATTAAGAACATCTATGTAAACGTTCCTATGAAAATGCACCTATAGCAGTCTTACCATGAAAACAGAGAGTATATTCCTAATATTAATAAAAGTAGAATCAGTACATCTAAGTAAGTATTCCTGGTCTGTGAGAAAAGACAAAGGCAGTAAAGGTGTTTAAGGAATTTATCACAAAGTGATTTTGTATTTAAATACTTAACCTAATTCCAATAAAATATTTCATGTACATACTGTTAATTGCTGATAGGTGAAACTATATCTATATGCATCATTATATGAGTGTTGTGCATTCAGAAATACTGATAGTGTCCACATAAAGATGAATATCCCCTATTCAGTAAAGCCCAGAAAATAAATAATGAGAAGCTAAAAGAAGTGACACATTATGTAACCAGAGTTCCAGTTTAACAGCTATCGACAGATTGCAGACTGAGGATAATCTTAAGAGACATAACAAAACCTAACAGCGTTATAACCAAGTTGAGACATGACCACCTATGTCAGGCAATAGAGAAATAACAATACAAAATAGAAAACTGCTAAAAAAAAAAAAAAAGCAAAAGCAGAAAAATATTGATACTAATTTGGCACTGAAACCAAAAAGAAAGTTAACTGAACTCTTTCTGTTTAAGCAGGCATATAGATATGGTGGCTAAAAATTAAAATTTTGAAAAAACTGAGCAGTAAACAGTGGAATCTTGGGCACATCATCTTTGATGTTTCAGTAGTGAAATATTTAGGAAGGAGCAGAAATTCAAGTGGTAACTGAAGCTATTCTAATCAATGAAAGTGAACCTAGGCTCAACTGGTTAGGTTTAAGAGAATTCAAGTTTGAAAAAAAAAAAGGACAGAATAAAACAAACAAACAAA